GTTACATAAAATAGAGGAAATTCTTAGCTTTTATGATTGCATTTGGCATGGTGTCTTAGTGACATTATTTAAAACTCTTTGTGTCTTTGAAGCTAAGTAGAACTTATGATATAGTCTATAGATTTTTATTATATGCAATTTGTCTTTTGATTGGGATGTTTAAAATTCACACCTAATAAAGCAAGTAATACAGTTACATTCACTATGCTTTTATTTGTTTTTGCAATACTCTTATGCTTTTTACTTCTGATACTCTCCACAGGGGATCAAAGCTATTATAAATTTTTTTGTCTACAAGCATTCCCATGTACTGACTTGCTTGTTATCTCAAGGTCTCTCTATTCAATTTAAATCATTTTTTTCTATAATTTATACACAATTCCACTGTTAATTTTTACAGATCTATTATTATATTTTTACTATATTTTATGCTATCTCATAATTTATTCTAGGTATCCTACTGAATTTTTCTATTTGTGAGAAAAGGGGAACTTCTCATTTATTAATTTATCAATAATTTTAAAATTTATTGTTACATTTTATGCTCTCTCAGAGCTTATTTTTAGACATTCTTTTAAACTTTTCTATTTATGAGAAAAGGGGAACTTCACAGGGGGACCTGGGGCCTACAAGTGATTCTTGGCCAACCAGGCCAATAGTTCAATGCAAGGTGTTGCATTGCTTAGGCCCTGGAGAGCTGAGGATTCATGGGAACTCTGGCAGCGCCAGAGGCCTTCAGCGGCTACACCCAGTGAGGCTTAGAGGACCATGGGGCATGTTGTAGGCACCTTAAACTCTCTACTACCTCCCAGTCCTTTATTGAAAATTTCATTGTTACTGTGTTCTTCAGCTTTAGAGTTTTCAGTTGTGATAAATCTTACTATTTCCTCATTAAAATATCTATTTATTAATTTATTGATTTCATAATTTCTTACAATTCTTCAAATATTAGTGTTTGGAAACTTTTAAAATAACCATTTTTAATCTTTGTCACCTCTGACATGTCAGATACAGTTTTCATTGGTAACTTATTTTCCCCAACTATGAATAATACATTCAAATTATGTTGTCTTTTATAATTTTGGGTGGAAACAGAATGTTTTAGATCTTTTATTTTGAACTGCTAGGAATTGAATTCAGATCTCTTACATCTAAGTGGTCTACTACTGGGCCACATCCCAACCGAAAAAAAGCTTCTTTTGAGTGAAGATTATTGGGTCACACGCAGAGTGACGCTGAGGGTCTACTGGATCACTTTTAGGGGACTATGTGGTGTCAGGGATTGAACCTGGGTTGGCTGCATGCAAGACAAATGTTTTAATCTCTGAAACTATCTTCTTTAGCACTTTACATAATATTTTATACCTACTCAGGATTATGATTTTACTCTAAAAATTACTTTCACTTTATTGTTTGTTCGTATTTTGGCTGGACTAAATCTCTGTAAACCTAGTTCTGTACCAGCTTAAATATTTATAGTTTTTCATTTTTCACACCTGACTCTAGATTCTGACTCTCTTCCAGTTGTATAATTTATCAGGCAGGCAATGATTGAACACAGTTTATTCTCAAAAATCTCAAATCATTAAGTCTTCTGTGCTCTGAAAATAGAGCTATGTTTATAGGGGAGGGAATTCACTGTTCAGGCCATTTTATGTTCATGTTTGCATTTACTTTACATTGTGATTTTTATATACATCAATGGGGTTGCCTGGAATTATTATGTGCTTGCCTGTAATTTAGTTTCTCTTAGTTTCTGCTACCAGGTATAAAGAAGTAGTCAGAAATATGACTGCCCCAACCTTGCTACAACTTCAGGTTCTCCTCTTTATTCTTGGTGAAAACCAGAACTACCACTGAACATATATCCAGGTATGAATATTGTCTCTTACTCAAAATTTGACAAACTCCTTTCAATAGTTGTCTGCCTTGCTTAGTTGATCTTTTATTCAGCCAAGTAATAGAGGTAAGATAAGGATAACCCTAAATTAGAACACTAAAGACACCCCCCTTCCACTTTTATACAAAGTTGGTCTCTAGTTTTATGACTGATTTATCACACACAGGCTCTGATGAATTTCCAGAGGGTTAAAATAACTGTTTGGTCAATTTTGCAGTTTTATATAGTTTATATAGTTGCTTAGGAGAAGAGAATTTGTTGATTTTCTAATTAAATCAAAGTCTAAAGTGACACTCCTCAATGTAACTTTAGATAAATATTAAGAAGAAAAAAGTAAAAGATCATTTATATATGTTTAAACATCTCTAAATACCAAATTAGCAATTCAAATTTAATACATATTAAATGAATATGCTATGGTTAAGAATTTTATACCCTAAAAAGTGGACTTTTTAACAGTAGTAAATTTATCTAAAATTTGTTGCATTAATACATTAATATATTAAATAGAAAAATCAGAATATTGTTTCAAAGTTTTCACAGAAGGTATTTTAGAAAACTAATAACAGAAACGTCCTATCTTGTTAAAGATAAAAAAGAACAATATATGCTAAACATTATATTTAATGGAGAAGTGTAACACATACATATAGAGAGAGGCTAATTTGATGTTTATTATTGTTGTTATCAATTAACTATTAAACAATATTCTTCCTAATGACATGTAAGGAAAAATAAATAAAAATGATATGATTGAAAAAGTGAGTTATAAGGTTTCTGTATATGCAGATGATATCAACTACCAAGAAAAACAGAATTGATAATCTATCAGAATTTACAGATATCAAAAAGTTGTTTAATATAAGATAAACTAAAAATATCAGTGGACTTTTTCTAAAAAATGATAGAAATACAACAAACAAAAAGAATATTACTACAGCAACATTAAAACCATGAATTTTCTAGATGTCAGGAATAATTGTAAAAATTATCTAGAAATATATTAATTACAAGGTATTTTATACCTTTGAGTTGATCACGTTGCTATTATAGATAGTAAATTCTACTCAAATTGAGATCCTGTAGTCAAATTGATCCTGTCATAAATTCAGCAAACTTTATTTATACTAAGATGGAAAAAATACATCTAAGCATAAGTAAGCCAAGTTTGAAATAAAAAAGCTAGAGATAAGACTGCTTAATTAGTTCTTTTACTTTTTTTTTGGCTTTTTGGGTCACCCCTGGCGATGCACAGATGTTGTTCCTGGCTCTGCACTCAGGAAAATTACTCCTGGCGGAGCTAAGGGGACCACATAGGATGCTGGGAATTGAACCTGGGTCAGTCACGTGCAAGGCAAACGCCCTACCCAATGTGCTATTGCTCCAGTCTCTCCTTTATTTGTTCTTAAAGTAATCTGAGCAGAAGATAATCTGAGCAGAATTGGGAATTCAAAATCACATGCACATACATAGGAACTTATTTATTATAAAGTTGATAACTTAAATCAATGAGAAACACTGAATAAGTCAATTAATCTATTAAAAACAAAATTTTAATGAATTAAAGATGTAGAGATGAGAAATTACAGAGGTTGTAGAGGGTGACAAACAGAAATGTCAAAAAGAATTCAAATTTGAAATATATCTTGGAGACAATATCAAATGTTGATGGACATCTAGTCCCTCATCTATGAAAGAATGTGAGAAATACTTGTGAAGAAGAAATTGATGATGCAAGAGAGAAAGAAAGGCTATCGGAGGTATGAATATTTTTGAATGGATTAAGACGGTTATCCTGAGAATTAGAATCAGGAATAACTTGATGGGAGAAATCTAAACAGAGAAAGGAGACAGTTGTGCTTTTATGCTGCAGAGTAAATTAACAGCAAAAGCATAGTAGTTGAATAAATTAAATGTAAACACAAAGAAGTAAAAATATATAGTTGAAAGACACAACGTCAAAAATTAACTGCCTTAATTTATAAATAAGTAGTTCTTTGTGGGCACAATATGGAACTGTGAGAATTTTATTTCAAGGTAAAATTATAATTTAGGCATACAACATTCTATTTCTGTTTTAAAAGTGAGACTGGTAGAGGCCAGCCAAAGAACATGATGAACAAGATTTACTACGGAGGCTGAGGTTCTCAGGCATTCCTGAGTAGCACTGACAAGGAAGATACTAGGTTGATTAGACCTGTGATGTTAAAGAAATTTGGGTGTGCCTGTCCTGGTTGATTATTTTAATTATGTGTCACAGACAGGAGAGGAGGAAGAGAAAGAAGATACTGAATCAAAAGCTATATAGGAGACCTTCTGTGATGAATAGCTAGAGTATCTGGCGATAGCTCCAGCTTTGTCAATGATTTACTGCGAAGTATTATAGACCAGAAACTACTCCCAATCTAATATAGTTTTATTTTGTGTATAAATTTTTTAAAGTCCTTATTAAATGAAATGCTGTATTGTGGTTTGCATCTGCGCAATTTCTTCATTTTATATCATTGACTTTTTTTTTAAATCACAAAATTCTTTTTCCAAGCAATTATTTGCCTGAATATCAATAGGTAAAAAGAGAAAATTTAGCTGAAATAGGGAAACTCTTTAGGTGCTGGAAGAGATTTGCATTAGGAAGCAAAGGGGAAAAAAAGAAAATAAAAAAATGAGTCAAGTGCCTACTAACACTGTAGCTGACTCTTTAAACTTAGTTTCACTTCATAGATGAAATTTGTTCAAGTGATACAGACAAAAGTAAGAACTGAGAATTAAACTTCCACAGTCTGTGAAGTTTCTTGTTGGATTAAGATAGGACAAGAGGGATGAGAAATGATCGTGGCAGGCAGATGTCATACTGGCTTTTCCGTTTCTGAGTCTGTCAGTGCCTAATGTGTTTAAGTGTTTTCAAGAGTTGGGTCACGGGGTTGGGCCTATGTACAAACTGTACCAGCCTACCCCTGGACTAAGCCATGTCCCCTCCCTTCTAAGTAGCTGGCTCCACAATAAGGATGACCTAGTAATTAGGAAATAAAGCACATAGTTCTAAATACAATCAAACAAATCTTGACAGCAAATATGACAAGTTTACTCAAAATAGTCTCACCTTGGCTGGGGTAGTATCTCTTGCTGAAAGTCTGGCCTTTTCCTCAGATTTTGCCTCTTTTTCTCTGAGAGAGAGAGAAAAAGAAATGATATATATTAAACTTTCTTGGCAAGTTCTCAGGCAAATAGATTAAAAAAGTTAACTTAGTTTTGATATTTTTCCTCAGCCCAGTCTGAGGTATGTTCAGAAATGAGCACAGATACCTCAAGTTTCTCCTTAATAGGGCTGGAGCAATAGCACAGTTGGTAGGGCATTTGCCTTGGACTGGCCAACCCGGGTTTAATTACCAGCATCCCATTTGGTCCCCTGAGCACCGCCAGGGGTAGTTCCTGAGTGCAGAGCCAGGAGTAATCCCTGTGTGACCCAAAAAGCCAAAAAAAAAGTTTCTCTTTAATGCCAAATATTTTAAATATGATTCTGTTGATGACAAGCAGCTCTGCATTTAATTATATAACAGACCTTTCCTTAACATACTTTTAACACCTAGGCAGTCAAAAACTCTAAAAGCCAACTGTGTTATTGGAATGTGCTCTTTGAAACTCTATTATTTACAGTGAGCCAAAGTCTTCCTCCTTGTTTTCCTTCCAAGAACCCTCACGAGAAAATTGACAATTTAAGGTTACTTTGACTGCTCTTCTCAATTCCCTTATTTCCAAATGAAGAAACCAAGTTTATTATAACACGATTTATCTGGGAGGAAAAGAAGTAATAATTGAACAAATAACTTCAAAGTACAAATTGTTGCATGCCTTAAGGCATTCTGTGTTTAAAATTATTTTTCAGTAAATTCATTAAATTCACAGTAGTAGTATCCTACAACATTCTGTTTAAAAAGAATAAAACAACTTTATTCCAAATAATATATACTATTATACTTTGCTTCTTTATATTTTGTTTTCAAAAGGATAGGAAAATAATCATTCATTTTACCCTGAGCCTCCCCCATCCTCAGTTCATTCTAGTTTGATTAATCTTCTCAGTCTCTTCTCTAGAAGTAGTGCCTATGATAAGCACTTTATTATCCTAATATTTTTCACCATGTGAAATTAAATTCCTTGACACACACTAACCTGATATTTAAAAGCTCATTATAACACAATTATCTTAAAAGGGTAAGCTTAGAGTTGGAGTGGCACCAGTGTTGAGTTTGGATGGTGGTCAGAAAGTGAGAATAATATCCCTGTTCAAAACAAAATTAGGAGTCTTAGATATAATGGATTTGCAATGGATAATTCAAGCTTCTTTAGGTGCTAGAGGAGAGAGATCAGGTTTGTAAGCACTGCAGATATGTAGGTAAATTTTTTGACACTAATTCTGAAAGCAAAGAGTTGGAAACAACATTCAACCCTTGCTTAAGATTTATTATTGTTCCAAGATTTAGTAATAAAAGCATATCTATTCAACACTGTCTCCTTACTATCCCCTCTGAACAGTTGTTTTTCTATACTAAGAAGCATTTCCATATTTGGGGCCTTGTATTCATCAGAGTTACACTTCTACTCTGATATTTTAATAGAGAAAAAACACTTTTCCCTCTTCTCTGGCCAAAGTATTAAAAAGAAAGCATCTAGTAAGGAAAAAGAAAACACTGGCAGTTCATAGAGTCTAAGGTAGAACCAGTTACATCCTTCTGTTGGATTGCTGCCACTGGGAGTTTGGCATCATGCCCAAGGAGTTTTTCTCAGCACCCTGGGGACAAAGAGTTGGGTCTTAACAGGCCCAGGAAATCTGACTTTCCTAACTTGTTTTTATTTTTTCCATCTTATAGACAAAAAAACTCAAAGTGGAACTAAACCTCAAAAGATGATGTTCTATTCATTGTGGATCTACCACTGAAGCAGGCTAGAGGGGTGGTGGGAAAAAAGTAGACAATGGTGGAGGGAAGATGACAGTGATGGTAAGATTGGTGTTGGAATATTGAATGCCTGTAACAAATCATCGCAAACAACTCTGTAAACCATGATGTTTAAATAAAGTGTGTGTGGAGAGAGAGGAGAAGAGAGATGATATCCTATAAAAGACCAAAAGTGCCACCTAAGCTCTAATTACTACACTCTCTGGGATGTCTTGGAATATCATTTGAGTGATAAGAATCTTTTCAGGTAGGTGGCACTTATTCAACTTTATCAGAGTAAACTGCTAAGCATTATTATTTTAACTGCTTTTAATTGGAAAAATATATCTGACTGAAAATAAAAATATCTTTAAATATGTCTGACGAGAAAAAAAATTCCCAGAATGGCTGCTAATTCATACTCAGGAAAGAAAGAGAACTTTTACTTACAGTATCACTTTGCATGAGACACATCTATTGATGAAGTTTAGTCCACCAGGACTATCATAAGAGGGCTGCTCTTGAGAACACAACAGTTTTCCATTTTTCATCAATGCCCGAAATTCATTGCAAGTTTCCTACAAAAAGAAGAAAATGTATTTACTGGAGCGATAGCACAGCAGTAGTGCATTTGCCTTGCATGCAGCCAGCCCTACCGACCCGGGTTCAATTCCTCCACCCCTCTTGGAAAGCCTGGAAAGCTACTGAGAGTATCTTGCCCGCACGGCAAAGCCAGGCAAGCTACCCGTGATGTATTCGATATGCCAAACACAGTAACAACAAGTCTCACAGTGGAGACGTTACTGGGCCAGCTCGAGCAAATAGATGAACAATGGGAGGACAGTGCTACAGTGCTACTGAAACTTTATCAAAGGTATTTTCGTGTTAATAAGATAGTGGCCCTTTGTGAACAAATGTGCTGTGGAAACACTTATTTTCAAAAAGTGTGAAAGTGTTCCTTTCAAAGATATACAATATTGTAATGCAATATTGTCTCAAAAAAAGAAGGTTTAAAAAAATGAAAAATCACTTCTCTGATGGGGCTGGAGAGATTATGCAAATGTTAAGGCACTTACCTTACACAAGATAGGCCCTGATTTTATAACTGACTCCACATGTGTCCTCCAAGCACCACCAGGAGTTATACTAAAGTAAAATAATTTCTTTTTTTCCAATAATATCTATGACCACTAATCCTTTGTTCATACAGAAGACATTCACTCAATTGTACAGATAAACAACACTGAACTCTCATATATTTCAACCTCATATTATAAAGATTCATTAGACAGTAAAAATAAAAATATCTTGAACAACTCGGTCAAAAGACCTGATTTACTATATCAAAGTTCACTTTCTTTTTTTTTCTTTTTGGGTCACACCCAGTGATGCTTAGGGGTTACTCCAGGCTCTGCACTCAGAAATCACTCCCGGCGGTGCTTGGGGGACCGTGTGGGAAGCCAGGGATCGAATCCAGGTCGGCCACATGCAAGGCAGACACACTAACTGCTGTACTATCACTCCAGCCCCTGAAAGTTCACATTTACAAGCAGCCAGGTCCTGTGAGCACTACTTGGGAAGCACAATACCAAAAACAAAAAAACAAAAGACATGGTACGCTATTCTTGATTTTGTTTTTGTGTGTTTGTTTTTGTAAATTCCTATGGTAGTACTGTGTCAAGTCTAAAGAGAGAAGAAACCGTGTTCAATAATAAAATAGAAATTTTGAAAAGGCTTTCCTTTCATTTGTTCATTTGATACATCTAACTGAATGCCTGCTATATGTCATTCACTTTTTTTCTAGGATCCTAAAATAAACCACATGTTTTCAGTACTTGATTTCAAATATTATATTCCCAAATAGCCACTGGGTCTCCAAAGCAGATGTAAGGCTTCTTGTTTTGATTTTACAAAAGAAAAAAAATCTTGTATCAAAGATTCTTGCAACTGAAAAATTTTAAATTACTATACTTTGCTAGGTGCTGTTGGATAAGAAAGCAGATCACTCCCTAAATGGTGCTTACCATAGAATGGATAATAATGAGTCTAATCTAGGTTACTGTACATGGGAAATAGTTGGTAACACTTTCATAATGATTAATGATGAAGAATAACAAACAATATTAGAGACCAGTCCTGGGAAATTGTGTTATGGATGGCCTACTGAAATATCTCTAAGATTACTATCACCTCAGTGATCTTATCTGAGTAGCACGGTAATAATTTCTGGCAACAGAATGGCAACTAAGCTTCTTGAGATATGTTTGATCTATAATTCTGTATGTAATGTCTTATATAAATACTGTAATAACTGCTTAGTTTGCTGGATATACTCATTGTGGAAAGTCTAAGAAAGATTTTGTGACAGCATCCTAAAATATTACGGAGTCACTATAACAGAAATATACCCCTTGTGTGGTATATCATAAAGTATTTAAAACAAAAATTTATAATACTGTAGCACTGTAGCACTGTCCTCCTGTTGTTCATCGATTTGCTACAGCAGGCACCAGTAACATCTCCATTGTGAGATTTGTTGTTACTGTTTTAGGCATATCAAATGTGCCATGGGGAGCTTTTATAATACTAGAATAAACTTTTAAATAATTTTAAGTGACCGATTAAAAATGAAAAACTGTAAAAGGCCACAAAAAAATCAAAAGTAATCTTTCAGCTTTCTCTTGGGGGAAAAAGGGAAAATAATTCTAATTAGATAATTCTAATTTTAGAGTGTCAAGCAAGTGCATATACAGTTTAAAAAGGCATTTCCCAGAATACAGAAGATGACTTTCAGCAACTCTTTATTTAGCAACTTCACCGCCAGTCTTTGGCTTGTATTTTATTTGTGCTTTTATTTTTTCCACGTCCCTCAGAAAATAAGGGAACCCTCCAGGGCCAAGTCTTTGCTGGTTTTTTTTTCACTGACTGTGTTCTAGCTGTTTGTCTTCTATTGTTGCTCCTCATACTTCATAACAAAATCTGTCACCCTTCTCTTGAGAGCACTAACAAGGTTGCTTTGAGCTTCATAATAATCCTTTCAAGAGGACAGATTTTAGGGTAGGGTAAAGCTGTCTGCAGATTATGACAGGGCTTTTCCAGGTTGTTCTGGTTTATGTTTACAAGACATACTTTGTTACTAAAAAGGACTCAATATATTTGAGAAAATACAAAACCCCAAATTTCTATCTTCCATTCCATTAATTTCCCTCAACATTATTTTTAAATGTCTTATACATTTCATTAAATGATTTTAATTGCCTACTCTCTTCCACTAAGATTTCATTTTTATGAGAATTACATTATTACTTGTTTTCTTTAGCTTATTACAGCACTTCAAAAAGGTTCTATAACATCATGAAAGCTCAATGCATATTTATTGGATGGAATAGATATACTGTGCACAGAACATAGATGACCTCTTTTTTACATAACAATATTGAGAAATTTACTTAAGCTTACTACATGTCATAACTTTTTCAGATGTTTCATTAAACAACAATAATTCTTTGTGGAATTGTAAAAGCACTCCTTTAGCACACAAACTATTTCTTGAAGACATTCAAAATACTTTGCGTGTGTATTTGTGATTCATTTACTGATTCATGTTTCAATCCTTTTAACAAAAGCTATTAGAACATTTTCAGCACAATATCTTTGTATTATTAACATGAAGGTGTTGGCCACAAATCATATTTCTTTAGGGATCTTGGATGGGGATGAACAGAAGCAGCAGGACTAACCTGATTTCCATCCTCACTGGCAGCATCTGGGACTAAAATACAGAAACCAAAATTAAGGGAAAGCAAAATATTTAAGAAATAAAAAATAATTCACTAAATACAGTGAATTCTTACTTTCTTTAATGACACTATGTTGTAAAACCACAAATTGCTTTTGAACACAATAAAAATTATTATGACAAATAAAATGAGGGTTATCATCAGAAGATTATAAAAAAATGGTCTAATCATAAAAGGTCCAATTGCTTCCAAAAATCACGTGCATGTGCTTTCTAACTCCATCAAAATAGCTAATGTCTAAAATATTCTTTCAGAACAAAGTATGGCAGAAAAACCTCTTAAATTGTAATCTAGAATACATACAAAATATACATATTATTTTAAATTATAATATAGTATAAAGTTGATATAATATATATGTATAAAGCTCTGAAATCTGATCATTTGCATCCTAATTACAGTAATAAAAATTAAATATCAAATAATTAAGATTAAAGTCATAGACTTTTATTAACAAATTCCTCTTTTTTTAAACTTACACACACTTATTTTAGAAAAGTGAACATTATTTGTGTCTAATGAGCTTCTGACTCTCCATCTCTGATAATTCCTTTTTAAAAATGCAGTTGTTCAGAATAAGATAAAACTAGCAATTTATCTCCTTCAAATTCATATAAAAAATCTACAATCTACTTCCTATTCACATTAAAGTCCCTTACATTGGGAGAAATACTTTCTCCATTTGATGACTGAAAGCACAAAAGTAAAATATACTATAAGGCACTACTACTTTAAGATAAAAGTATGTCATTACATTTTATTTTTGAATATTTTATTTATAAATATATTATCTAGACACATATATAGCACTATATATACCATAAATACATATGTAGCATAAAACTGTTTATATGTAATACCTAATTGTTATAAGTAAAAATTTATGTTTTATCACATGTACAAAATATTCAACATCTCAGTATAATTTATATTTGGGTGAGTATGAGATGAAAAAGAATCTTTAAGCTTTCAGGACTAATACAGGATTAATTAAAGAATTTCTGAGATGAAAGTTTAATAAATGAATTTCTCAGATAAAATTCAGATTGTCACTATAAATTAAATTGTTGTGGTGCTCAGAATGTTGCATCTGCAGGTGTCAAACTATAATGATATACAACTGAAGCCAATATATTTTGTATATTTATGTATAGCTGTAAAATGTTAATTAAATAAAAATGCTTTTAAAAATTCAAATGTTCTCAAGCTACATGTTACATCTGAAAATTACAACACAGTCACAAAATCTGATATGAAATTCTTTAAAACTTTGTAACTGTCAAGATCTTTTGTGAATATACACACACTCGCATATATTTAGGGAGGAAGAAAGAATATACAAATACCTGCCCAAGGTTTTGTCATATGTGGCAAAAGTCTTAAATTGCATGTAAATTGCTCACCTTGTGTGAGGCAAAGAGCCAGGGTCAGAAGAATTGGAACTGTGTTTATCTTCATGTTGAAGATGATGTAAGTCGGTTATAAGTCTGCTCCGTGCATTGCTCACCTGCTGGTACTCTAAGACTGAACTCAGAGATGCAGCTCACTTCTTATATCTCCTCACCCACACACTGTCCTATGACCAACACAGAACCAGTTGATCAGGTCTGCTTCTATCATTGTTCCTGTTGAAGCTGAACGAAGTTGAACAAAGTCTGTTCCTGAGATACTTTGTGTGTGTGTGTGTGTCTGTGTGTCTGTGTGAGTGTGTGTGTGTGTGTGTGTGTGTTATCACATCTCTCACATAAAGTGATAGATTGAATTCAAGGATTCTAAGCAGCCTTTGATTTTCATAGTTCTATCTTAGAAGTGAATTCCTCAGCAACATCTGATTTTTTGCCTCATAGATAGACATGTGTAACTGGACTCCATTCATAAGTGAAAGGTAAGATGGGGGGAAAGGAGAGATTGATAATTCTACCATTTGGGTAAAGATCAAAAGATATTCATGATATTCATATCTGAAGAAATCTACTTATGGTCAGGGAATCAAGAATTATAATTCTTGTTGTTTCTTTCGGCATCTTCTGAAGTGTCTATTCCGTGTCATTGTTCAAAAATCATTTAAGGTATCCTAAGAAATAAACTTGTAAAAATTTTACCATTACGTTAATGAAAATTCAGATAAGAATTAATGGTATTCCCAATAGCATAGTTTAGAAAGGAAAAAAGCAGAGGTGGTACTTAAAAGAACCCTGCATTTCAGCATTTTTCTCTCCATCCAATCCTTCCCCATCATAAATAATGGCAGAAACTTTATGAATCAAAGTTTTTACGTAACTAACTTATAATTCTCACTTTGAAGAATATTTGTACATTCTAGAGCCATTTTTGACTCTGGCACAATACCAGAGTGATAAACATTAGAACCAAGGTTTAGCATTCAATTCCCAATTTAGTTTAAATCCCATCAATGCCCAAATTAATTTAAAAAAATTTGATTTCTTGGGGTTAGAGCAATAGTTCAGCAGGCAAGCTGACCCAGTACACAGGCTTGATTCCTGGCATCACATTTGGTCCCCTAAAACCCACCAATTTCTGAACACAGAACCAGGAATAAAATACCCTGAGCACAGCGGGTATGGACCCTCCAAAATCAGTTCAATAATTTTTCCCTAAATTCAGTTTAGATATTGTTTCACAAATTAGTCATTCAAGAAGACTGAGTCCCCCAAGAATAAAGAAGAAATAAAATATTAAAAATATGAATAGGGCTGGAATATGATAGTAGAGTGGGTAGAGCACTTGCCTTGCATGCTGACAACCTAGATTCAGTCCCCAGTCTCCATATACTCTGAGCACTGCTAGGAATAAGTCCTGAGCACAGAGCCAGGAATAAATCCTGAACATCACCAGCTGTGGCCAAAACCTGAAAATATATGAATCTATACTAGAGAAACTAATCTCTCATTGAGAACCTTCTTAGGCTCTACAGAGTTTGTTTGTTTGTTTTGCTTTTTTAGAATCTTGTCTTACTTTACTGGCTTAATCAGCCTTCCTAAGAAATTTGAAAAGATGACAAAAGGAAGAGCCAAAGGGTTAAAGTAACCAGGGTTTTCACAATGTTAGAAGGAAAGTCTGAGTCTTTATGGGATCACACATCCCTGTTAAGATTATTACAGAAAATGGATCTAAGACTAGTCATCTTTGGGATGATCTCAATATTAAGAATGTTATCAGAATGTTTCCTTCCTCCCAACAAGTAATTTATTTTCTATAAAAATGTAGTAGTTAGTTTTAAGGTATGTAAAGCTTTGTTAAATCCAATGATTTAGTGAAATACATGTTCATAAAATTCAAGTTAAAATTGTGTTATACCTTATGAAATGGAATACATAAAGCCCAAAAAGGAAAGAAAGAAAGAGAGGGTAGGAGAAAGAGAGAAAGATGAAAACTGCCTACCATAAAGGCAGGCTGCGGGGAGGGAGGTGGGAGGGAAATCAGGGACATTGATGGTGGGAAATGTGCACTGCTGAAGGGAGGGGTGGTGAAACATTGTATCACTGAAACACAATCATGAAAACTTTGTAACTGTGTATCTCAAGATGATTTGATAAAAATAAATAAATAATTTTTTTTATAAAGAAAGAAATTAACATACATCGTAGCTTAATGCCAAGAGAATGAGATGAAGACTCAGGAAAGTTGTTTTTATTCCAGACTACTCATCCACATAATATAATGAAACAGTATGATTTTAGTACAGAGTAGATCTTGGTCCAAACATTGACTCACAAAGTACTAGTTGCATTGCTTTGGGTGAGTGATTTTTTTCCTCTAAGTTTTCTAACTATACAACAGTAATTAATAATAACTACAACATACAATAGTTATAAAGTTTAGTGATAATGCATGTGTATATATGTTGTATAATACAAAGTATATGTGATAATCCCTATAGTTCGAAATAGTTGGTTTTGTGTTCTTGTCAGACAATGATGTCAATATACTAGGTAATTTACAAAACTCTATGAAAAATAAGCACGTCTTGAAAAGGGATAAGTCAACTTAAAGCAAATTTAAGTTAACTGAACAAAGAATAACATCCCCATCATAATATGAGGTGAAATTATAAAAACCAACATCAAGTACTCTTTTAACTGTGATTTGTATTCTAAAATACCTAAAAAAATCAAAGTATTAGATATTTAAAACTTTTAAAAGACATTACTAAATTTCAATAGATATTGATTCTGTTTCTATCACTAAAAAGTTCTTCTAAATACTCACATACAGTACATTTTTTAAACAGTTCTGTCACATCGTATTAAATATGTGCCAACCATGTGGTGATTTTTGATAGGAAGGAAAGTGCAGTGTCTTACAATAGAATTAGTGACTGGATAAATACTCTGATGCATCACAAATCTAGCCCAATGTAAGTATTCCCAAATTTATGTTAGGCTAGGGTGGAACTAAAGGTGATTGCATCTCTGAAGAATGTTTGCTATGAGGAAAGTTTAAAGGAACCAGTTTCCTTCTTACAGGAAGAAGTTTTTCATTGACATGCAAAACCTTCTGAAGTGATGAATATAAAGTTTGAAACTGAAACCTGCTTCCAAGAGAAGGTAGCCTAGAGAAGATACAGTAAGCACTCACATTAGAAACATATATCAGTTTGCTCCTGACATCAGAATCTTTTCTCTATTTCATTTCAAAAATGCTGGAAAACTAGAGGCAATTCATAAATGCTCTATTAATGGGTTCTTCTTATTTCTAAGAAAAACACCAATTTTGAATTAAAATCTAAAATAAAACCTTTAATATAATAGAAATAAATAATAAAAATAGGTTTGAGGGTTTAGGAAATTTAATTTAGGTTGACAGAGTACTTATCTCAAATTCTAATTACTAACATTGATTCAGTCCTTTAAATTATTTATCAAGTATGGCGGACCTTTCCCTGCTCAAGGGTAATGAGTGAAGCCAGAGAGAAAGTAGAGTGGGTAGGTCACTTACCTTGCAAGTAGCTGATGATGGCTTTGATCTCCAACACCGTATATCATCACGTGAGCAACTCTGAGAGTGATCCCTATTCACAGAGCAAGGGATAAGACCTGAACATTGCCAAGTTGGCCCTAAAACAAACGTTAAAAGCAATGGAGCTAGATTATATAAACATTACACTCTAGCATAGGTAGCAAGAAGCCCAGAATCTGAATTCACATCAAAGATATTTACACAGAAGAAGGAGACATACAAATTATAAAATAAACATGATTTTACAGATCAATAACATAGCACTGTAGCATTGTACCACTGTCCTCCCATTGTTCCTCGATTTGTTTGAGCAGGCCCAGTAACGTCTCCATTGTGAGACTTGTTGTTACTGTGTTTGGCATGTCGAATACATCATGAGGAGCTTGCTAGGCTTTGCCGTGTGGGCAAGATACTCTAGGTAACTTGCCAGGCTCTCCAAGAGGGACAGGGGAATCAAACCCGGGTTGGTGGGGTCGGCCGCATGCAAGGCAAACACCCTACCGACTGTGCTATCACTCCAGCCCACCAATAACGTAACTGAGAAAAAAGTTTATCTCCAGAATCCAAAGATAAATATTTATTTTTAAAATATTTTCATTTTCTATGCAAAGGTTTCCTGGATAGTCACAATAGTTTACTAAACAACTATAATCCCTTCCAGGTATGTCACCTTCTGAATCTTTCACAACAATTTGCTATTCATTTGCTTTCTTGGTTTATTCATGCAATACTGTGAGGTAGCAAATTAGGTCTTGTTAGCCTTTCTTTACTTGCCAAATTAGTACCATTAATGAGCAAGCCCCAGAGCATAGACTACCTTCATGGCAATCCCAGTCTTGCCACTTACTCCACTTGAACACTAATAGATTCTCTAGGTCTCTGTGACTCTTAGAGTCAACCTCTCACACAGTTCAGAAAGAACCTGGACCTCATAGCACTCTGAATCAGATACAGTATTCTACTCCTAATGGGATTCTTTCCTCTAATCTTTGCTTTTACACACACACATACACATAAATATGCACACACACAATCATATGCCCATAAATGTCTTATTAAAAAAATTATGCAGTGACCATGATTAAAAATAATGTCTGTACTCTCCTTTTGAAACATACTGACTCAGAAACAGCTTTACCCACTTTCCTACTGGGACTGTCCCATGATCACCTAACCTTACTCCTCTGAGAATTCCTTCCTATTTGTCTGGAACAAATAGAAGCTGCGGTAATAAGCATCTCACTTTATCTAAGAATAGGATGGGCACTTTTGATTACTAAGTACACATATCCTGCTATTTATAAATGTCAGTTACCTTTATCAGATTAAAATTTAAACAGGTACAAGTTTCAATGTTTAGTATTTAATAATATTAAGTTGTATGTATTTAAGGGTATATCTGATTCTTCAATATAATATCCAGTTATTCCCTACAATTGATGCTTTTTGAATCCCTATTCTATCACCTAATATTTTGT